ACTTGCTATTTCTTGGGTGAGTATATTATAAAAGAGAAAGAACTACATTGGACAGGTCCCAAGCCAGAGAATCTGAGATTGTGCTCACAGAGGAATGACAAACATCAAGACAGGATGTCCTCCTTCCTTTTCTTTGAAATAAATACACTTTAAAAATAAACAGTCTTTGGGATGCAGGCAAGACAGCGTCCTCCAGGATTCTGCAAACAGCGGCTCCTTGTAACCAGCATTAACATGAATGAAGAAAATTTATCGCTACTTCACCTTTTTGAGCTTCAGCAAAAACAATGAGCACAAATGGGCTGAGGGTTTTCCTAGCCAGGATCTTGCATCACTTTGTTTCCACTTCTCTTCAGCAGGGCTTATGTCTTCACAAGCTAAACCGCATGGTCATGTCACCTTCTCTTACCAGCTACATGTCACAGCATCCTCCCCACATTCCCTCTGGGCTCCCAGCATCACCTCATGCCAGAAGCATTTCTCTCTTGGAGGCAGGACACAGAAGCTTGAGAAACTGAGTCCTGCCTGCTTCTAGTGATTCAGGCAGAGGCTGGTACCCATCACTGAAGAGCGCTCGTGGGCCAGCGAGAGGCTGCCACAACTTGCCACTCATGGCTTCTTGCAAGACCCTCCTGCGGGTTTTGAGTGTGGCTTCGCTCTGGTGGAAGCAGCCAGGAGGGTCTCCTGGCTCTGTTGTAAGGTGCCACAACAACTTGTCCTGTCCTGCCAAAATGAGGAGCTTGCTTCTGTGCATGCCTCTGATCTAGCTCTAGTCTGGTGCCTTTTTTGGCAGTAACTGTGATTAAAGAAAGGGTGCTAATTAAATTGTTCTAGTAGTGAGTGGGATTCCCTTAGAATGTGTTGATTCCCTGACAATGTTCCTACTGGAACAATGCAGAAGCTCCAGGGCTACGTTAGTAGGTGTTGTGCGAGTGGAGAGCAGAGTCGAGGGTTATATTACTCAGATGATGGGAACTACTCTTTCCTGTGCATATACTTGGCTGGGCCTTACAATAAACTCCCATCTGGCCAAAACAATTATTCTCCCCCTTTCCTGCATGGGAATTCTGCTCTTTATCAGTGCCACGTGCTTCTCAAGAGCTCTTTGGTGTAGTGTCCAGTTTGAAGAAATCACATGCTGGCTTTGTGGTGCACCCCTACGTATCAAGGGCTTGCTCCTTCTTTGGGCGGTGGTGCTCCTCAGGAAGCAGATGCTGGTGTCTGTGGTGAGATTTCTGAACAATGGCTTGCAGTCACTTGTGGCCACATCTCTTCCAACCCACCATAGCTTTGCGCTTAAGAAAAACTCCCGGGCTCTCTACAACCGCATCGCGCGTGGCTTTGTTGCAAACCTACGCTTCGGAGGGCAGCGGAGCATTCGTCCCACCATCGGGGCACCGCTGCCAGAATCACCTAGGAGGGACTAGCACAAGGTCCCCCTTGTACTCCTTACCCCTGTGTTTCCTGGTGCAGAGGCCTTGTAACGCCTTACATACGTGTATCTTAATTAAGTAGCTCAAAGCTGATGCCAATATTAACTACTCATTTCTAGAGAGTCCAAATGTCAGCACAGGAGGAGGTAAGTGGATGACAATGGGGCATTTTTTAGTAATGGGCGTAGATTTAAGCTTCTGAGTGGGCTGTGTAGTGTGAAAAGGGGAAATGCAATGTCTTGGCATGTTCTGAAATATCCAACCATTGTGGTTTTGGCCAAGAAGCAATAGCTGAGATTTGAGTAACTTCTCTGCAACCTACTAAATGCTGTTCCCCAGTTACCCTAATTCAGAAGGCAGGTAGGGTATGTCTGACCACAGCAGGCTGGAGGTTCAGTTCAGCACAACTGTTTTAAACATTTGGGACTCCTAGTCAGAGTGGGAAGTACTGAAAAGCAGATGAACAGGACTGGTAATCTGGTTCTCCCTGCTCATAATTGACCTAATTGGTGTGGGCATATATCAAGTGTTGTTTTTAAAAAAACAACCACCTATCATTTGCAAAGATTAAAAATGTGCCAGATTTTTTGCATGCCTCTGTCAAAAGCCCACAAGTCTATAACTTGCTGCAGAAGGGAACATCTGTGTCTAATTGATGAAACTCAGCTTTCATAAAGGATGATTCGAATGAACTAAACAGTTTTGTCAGTCATTCAGTTGTGGATTATAAATTAATCAGAAATCCTCCCCCTGCCCCCTCGGATCTGTCTTGCATTTCCTGTCCCTTGTGGGTTTTTTTTCCTGGTCTCAGAGCAAGCCCTGAATCTTTTTGGTCTCCCAAGCCGTAATAAATGAACAATCCCCTCGCTGCTGTGACCTTTCAGCCCGATTTCTGGAATGCACATGTTGCACAAATCCCCCCCCCTGGGGTTCGGGGATGCAGGGTACCTGTTGGGATTCAGCTAGGTATTGCAGCCAACTGGCGGCTACATGGCTTGTAGGGGAACAAGAGGCATTTGAATCTGAGACTCCTTGGATGTATGCAGTCTGCAAGGTATTTCTTTCCAAATGATGACAGATTCAAGTGAAAATGAAGGCAGGAAAGGGAGCCTATCCTGAGAGCGGGGGCGAGGGATTTATGGGGGGGTGCACTTACCCATTCAGCACTTTGGTGATTAATCCCACAAAATCCACCGAACTGATGGCTGCTGCTTTTGGGTGTTAACAAAGTCTTCTGGTAGTAGAGGTGGGGCTGTGAACGCCTCCAAGCGCCTTCTCAGTGTCTGAAAAAAGGCAACTAGATCAGTTCACATATTCCTCAAAATAAAATCTCAACCCTCAATCATTGCTAATTTAAGGAGGTTCGGGCCAATCTGTAATCCTCCCACATCCAGGAGTACCACCCTGCAATAGCAGCAGTTCTGGTGCACATTCTGGCTCCAAAACTGAGTACATATTTTAGTTGAAAAGTTAGGCATTATTTACTGTTTCTTGCTATGCAAATATCTTCCTTAAAAGTGAGCTCAAAAGACTAGCATGGGACAAAGGCAAGTCTGCACTGATATTCCATGATGGAGGGAAGGAATATGAGAGAAGTCACAGAAAATCCCTCTTTCCTTCTTCCAAGTGTAGGAGCAATCCTCTCCCTGAGGAGAGGGGAGCATATTCACTGGAAACCAGCTGGCTTTCAGTAAATTCCAGGTGACAACAAATGTATCTGTAGTTCTGATGTGAATTAGCAAATGGATCTAAATGTTAGGATCTGTAGCCTCTTAAATTGCCATAAAAGTTTTGCTATTTTCACCTGCATTTTTACCATGAATTAGCTAATTCAGACTAAACCCCCAAATTTTACCTCCTAGAGAAAAGATCAGTAAATTTCTATTAATTTATTTTGGTATTACATGCTGTGGGACTCCTAAGGCATTAGACAGAGGATAATATGTATTTGGCACATGAATGAGGTTTCTTTTCCACTTGAGACTTCAAGCCATAGTCCAGCCCAGGTGCCTTAAATGAGAAGCCTGTAGTTTATTCCACTATAATTAACATAAGCTTTGATTTAAATGACACTTTTGAAAATCAAAGATTGGGTTTCAAGTTGAATACAGAATACAATTTCTACCCACGTTGCTGTTTTGGTCCTTTTCTATTGCCATCCTGCCATCCACCCTGAAATCACTCAGAATATGAACAGCACCTGCTGGAAAGCAAAGGTCATGGCTTGCAGAACAGGTCTGGCTTTTTGTTATTTACGGGCTTTCAATGTTTGGCATTGCATTTTTTTTTTCTTTCCATTTCAATATAAGCCAAGGGGAGGGACTAAGAGGAAAAAAAAAATCTGGAGTATTTTGATCTTTGTGGCTTTATATGGACTTCATAAGATTTGTTTGTTCTACTGCCAAGCTTCCTTTGTGTTTAAATAGATAACAGACCAAGACGACAAATCATTTCCAATAAAAAAACCCCACCAAACCCAAAGCATTCCCTTTCTTTTCCAATTATTGCTTGTAAACCCATGCTTCTAGACAGGGCTTGTGACCTAAGTACTTCTGACTTATTTTTTCCCCTTTTCAAAAACAATTGCCCAAGGTGCAGACAGGGCTGTGTGCTCTACAAATTTATGAAAGAATCTTGAAAAAAAGGCTCTGAGAGTGTCTTTGGGAGAAGTTAGTTGTAAATATGATGCATGAAAGCAGCCTCATGTACCTTTAGAGAAGCTGCAGCACGGTAGTTAGTGCCACCATTTATGGACTTCCTTCCTCTTTGGAGACTGAAGGCTATTTATGGAGAAAGAAGAAATAGCAAATTTCACATGGGACTGCCGCTGTGTTATGTAAATTGCATGTTGATTGCTAGTTTACTAGTGAGAGCTGGTATCTGCTATCACTATTTTGAGAGGCTTTGCATTTGAAGCAGAGACAATTTACCCAATCAAAACCACCTAGATTTTACTGCTTATTAAAGTAGATAAGGCTGAATGTCTTTGAAACAGAAGATGAGTTGGATGGATGAATCACGGGTAATCATCAATGCAAGTTGGTTGGTTTTTTTTTTACATTAAAAAAATGTTTTTGTAATGAAAATAACACAGAGTTCAAGATGCTGTGGTGACAGTTTTCTTTAGCTTCCTGAGATTTTTATCACACAACCAGCTGTTTAGGACAATGCATTTGTGTGGTCAACAAGTTGTATGTTAGCCAACAGCTGAAATGGATGCTACTGTGATCAGTAGTAGAAAGTGAGAATTATGTGAATTACTCATCTGAGTTATATTTCTGTGGAGGCTGGTTGGTCAGTATACACTTCCATAGTCCCCAGGAGTAGCTTTCTGTGTTAGGCATATTAGATTAATGCTCCGAATGGGAAAGTAGAAGATAGACTTGTACAAGCTTAACAAATTCCCCTTTCTTGAGGCGATCTTATACCAGTCCCTGAAGGGAAAGAAAATAGGTGGACCTTCAGTAGGTCTAGCAGACTGCATCCTGAATACAATCTCTAGCAAGATGTAAGCGTATTTGTTTTATTTCCCAGGTGTATTACTCCTGTGGTGCAGTGGTGGAATCGATGGAAAGAGGCCTGATTTTATCACCAGGTTTTCCAAACAACTACTACGCAGGGACACACTGCGTTTGGCAATTTTTCATCCCCATGAGAACCCATCTTATCTTGGAAATTTTTGACTTTGACATTTTTGAGAGCTCTAGTGAAACTCCAGCCCCCTGGGATGGCTTTTCAGCCCCTACTAAAACAGGAAATAAGGACATGCCTTCTCTTGAGCAAAACCTTGACTTGGCTCTCCGTACTACAAACCCCCCTCTCCAGACCTGGATGTCAAAGGTGGCTCAGAATCTGAGCAGCACAAGAGATCAGTCAAAGGACCTTGCTAGTCACCTGGATGAACTTCCAGGAACCGCCTCAAAAAAAGAGGAAGCCAAACAAGCATCTGAAGAAAACCAGTTGAAGCAGATGAAGGAACCCAAAGTGATTACCAAGGCTCAAACAGAAGAGCTGCCATTCCCTGTGGCTGGTAGTGCCACAACGGAGAGGCAAAATACCAGTGGCCTGGAAACAGAAGAAGATTTGAAAGAAAAAATCTTGCTTGCCCACCTAGCTGCTAGTGAGAGAGATGAAGTTACAGTAGAGAGCTGGACTCTTCCCACAACAGTATTGCCCGTGGAAATCTCCTCTAGCCCACAGCCAGCAGTGGATGTCTGTCCCCATGATGTACTTTATGTTTCTGATCTCATCACATTTTCCTCTCGCTTCTGTGGACCAAATTCACCTTTAAACAAGACCTTGGTCTTTGGTTCATCTCTGGAAATGGTTGAGGTTATCATGGAACTGATCACCACCACAGACCGGGGCCGAGGCTTTGCAATGCTCTTTGAATACAAGAACATCACCGAACCTACCACTGTAGATGCTGTGAGGCAGGAGAGAAAGGAAAACATGATGATGCTGGCAATTATAACAGGGATTGTCTTCTTTGCGCTTGCTTTGCTCTCTGCCCTCTGTGTAGCTTGCAGGTAAGATGATGCATATCTGAGCCTTTGAAGCATGTGATATTATCCATACAGGAAAAAGACCAGAAAACAAAATTGCGTTTCCTTTGCTCTGCTCATGCTTGCTGTCCCTTAAATGTAGTAAAGTGTGTGGATACAGAGGAGATCAATGCCAGTCACTGCTCCTGCCTTAGGCTCCTCGGTTTTCTTTCCTAGTTCTACAGCTCCTGTGCCTCCAATTGATTTTCTTTTTCCTGCAGAAATACCTGAAGGGTATACAGAACAGAAAGATCATCCTTCCCCGACTCTCCTGAGCAGGCTGAGCTGACAGCTACTGCGTCTTTTCACAGCAATTCCACAGTTTGACTAACCATCACTAACGCTCTGCAGAAAAGTAAATAGTAACAAAAGTATTACCACTTTGAATTAAGGTTAAGTAATATTTTCCAGTCTGTAGCATGTTTTATCCAAGGGACTGTGCAGACATTTTAATGCCATTGCACTTCATGCATTAAGCAGTCATCTGCACGTCCCTTTGACTGCTAGGGAAGAGCTGAGAGCCTTGCTGCAGTACCTGCGATTGTCCCCAAACGTCATCTGGAATGACACGGATCAAGTGAGCTGATGGTCAGGCTGCGTTGCTGATTTCCAGGTCCTGATGCCAACTAGTTCAATGGCTAAAACCAGCCAGTGACAAAAGCATACCTCTCCAGGCAATTGCTTTTATTTTATATATTTCTTTTCTCTATATCCATCAGGAGGAAGCTTCTCCACCCCCCAGCATATGTTTGCATTTTTCTTACTAAGTCCCTAGTGAATTTTTGTAGAAACAGTGATTTATTTTTTTTCCTTCCAACAAATTCAAAACAGAGCCCAAGCTCCCCAGGTTTTTGTCAAAACAAACAGTATTTTTCAAACATTTTGACTTCAATGAAAACATCAGGTAAACTGAAACAAACACTGTCCCTTGCAGGGCTCCGCTGTGGTGACTGGATATTAGTAACAGCATTCATTTCCCATGGCAGCGTGCAACTGGTCTGTCTTCTCTCTTGCTGCATGCCCTGCCTCATCCCTTGTGCATCCTCCAACCCAAAAGGTCTCAGGATTGCCCAGCCACTCCTAGTCACTGAGGTTAATTTGATGGAGGGACTCTGTTTTCCTCGTCCTTTTGGAGGCTGCGTTTCTAGCTCTTGCTGAATAAATACAAAATATAGGCCATCATACTGGGTATATGAGAACGTGGGCAAGGTGGTGAAGCTTAAATATAATCTCTCTTGCTGTATGTAGAAATTTCTGCTTTCAGGGTCTGAGCTTTTCGTAGTTGTAAGAGTTAAACTTGCATATGTTACATCTAACTAACCTTTTTCCTTTTTAAAGAGCTTGCAGAACACTAATTTAGACCACAATTTTTTGCTAGCTCTAAAGGAAAACGGCTGGCGGAAAATGTCTTCCAGATACCAAATACTTTATTTTTATACCCTTGCCAATCTTCAAAAGAGACAGAAGCATGCTCCCTTCACTATGGCAGCAGTCTGGGCTGATACACATGTTGAGTAGGCTGCTCTTGCTCCATTACCCCTCTTTAATTTCACTGTAACTATCCGTGAAGCAGAGTATTATTCAACCCAAAAAGTACACCGGCAATCTGAGATTTTACTGGCTGAAGTTTAGTCTGTGTAGCCTGTTTAGAAAGTCAGGCCATGCTGCTCAGATGCTCAGTTTGGCTTTTTGCTTGTTAGATGTTTACAAAATAAAGTAATATTCTGCTCTTGGTGACCAACAGAGAAAAAACTGAAGGCATTTTTTTCCCCTCACACAAATGTTTGTATGTTCTGGTCACCGTGAATACATCCTACCAGGGGTCCTATAGTGCAGGACCAGGGTTAGACTCACTTCTTTTAACACTGGCATTTACGCCTTTTCATTGCTTTATGACTCTTTTTTTAAAGGAAGATATACCTCAGTCAGCTACTGACTGTATATAAATAGAAACTATCCCTAGTCCTTTAGCCTCTTGAAAGGCCATTTACTATCCCAGCTGCCTATATTCCCTGCATGCTATTCCAGTGAGGCCTTGGTCACAATACTTTATTTCTTGTCAGACTTAAAGTATTTAAGTGAGATCTGACACATGTGGAAGTGATGCCACGACCTGTGCTGAGTAACCTCGCTTCTATTGCACTGGAAGAGTCTTTTTTTCTTTTTTTTTTTTTTTCCTCTTTACGGGGCTAACTGCTTTGATGATATTGGTCTCTGGCCTCAGAGCCACTGGCGCTGGTTGGAGCTTGCCTATACTTCCCAGCTGTGGGTTTTTAATGCAGCTCAGAATAAGACTGTGGAGGCCATTAAGCACATCTAAACTTCTTTCAGTTTCACCCACGAAGCTCTATTTTATGTTTCTTGCCCTAAATAGGGGCTTGAAATCACATGTATTAGCCACAGCCCATTCTCCTTGCAGAAAGTGTCAGGATGGCAAGGGGTGGGCTGAGGAGGGGAGAAATGAAGACGCTTTACAATGCAGCACGCTCAGAAACGCGACCAGCTTTCTGAGGCATGGTAATACTTGTTCTGGCTGGAGCGTGCCATTGCAAAGGATGCTAATAGTAACCTTCAAGCTCTTGGCCTCGTAAACTTGCCTTCTACTTTTCTCTTCGTACTTTACTCATTCCTCCGGTACCAGGTTTAGCCGTATTTTTTTCCCGTTTCTATCTGCTGCTCTTGCTCAGCTAAAAGTAGCAGGCTTTGCCTCGCCAGGGGTAGAAATGGCCGAGGATGGGCTTGGCACCTACTGCCACTCCAATGCACCAAGTCGTCAGCAGTGTCTGCTCGGGCTCATTGCATTCAGCCAGGGCAAAGCTCTCTGGGGAAACTCCAAGTCTCTGCCACACTGCAGCTTTTGTTTGCTGTTTGGGGAGGGAATGAAAGCTTCAGTTGTTAGTTGGCCAATAATTCTAATTACTTTTGGCCATGAGGCCTGGCTCGAGTAATGGGGTATTTTTTATTTTCTTTCCCAAGCCCCAAGAACAACAGACTTGTCCACCTTATTTAATTTTAATCCTGTCCAATGCAGTCAGACTTTTGCTCGATGGTTGCAACCCATGGATTGCAACTGCATTTTACACCTGCATAGCCTGCCAATGACCTGTTTCCAATTACAACCCCCTCCGTGTACAGCTATTTCATGAAGTCATCATGCGCTGCCATCTCTCTCCATGCAAGCTGCCCTGCCAGTCACTGCCTGCAGCCTGACCATCACCTGGGGGCGAAACTTTTCCTTGGTCATATAATGCCCTCCTAGAGAATCCTTGTCGCTTCTAAACCAGATCTTTCCTCTGCCATCCGCATGTTAGGCACAACCCAGAAACCCATCCCTGTCTGTTGGAGCCGTGTCCTCCATTTCTGTCCCTCCACACATCAGTCTGGTTTAGTTAGAGACCTAAGCCAGCTAGACCTGCCTGCTGGGGTCAATTTTCATAAAGCTTCCAACAGACTTGAATTTTTTGGTTTACTTGAGAAGTTTGAAGCAACTTTAAAAAAAAAAAAAGACTTCTTTTAAATGATGGAAACTGGTGTATTTGGACATTGGTTGTTTTATATCCATGAGCTGCGTGCTGATGTAAATCGCTGGTCTCCTTGGTGGCAAGATACTGCAGCATGCCACAGGAGATATAGCCCAATTGAAGAATGCGCTAAAGAAAGACTAAGAAAGATCCCCAGTCCTGCAAACTAGCGCATCTCTCCAGGCACTACGGAAGCAGCTCTGAATAGAAGAAGAAAAAAAAACCCTCAAGTTTCCACCAAAATTGTTGGCCGAATCTAGAAACTCTTACACTTTGTGTGTGTTGGTTTTTAACAGTAAATCAAATTGTTCAGTGGAAATCAGACATTCAATACCCAAGTGTGGTGAGGGAAGAAAAAGTTAAAATGGGGACATTTCAGCTAGTTACCATTTTTTAAACCTAAGTTAAACTTTGGAAGAACAGGACTCTTCCTTCTCTTATTCCCCCTTATTCTACCGTACTTGAACGGAAAACATCTTTGCCAGGGGCACCTTACTCTCTCTTTGGTTCATACTGCCAAACTGCAGTGTGGATTTCAAGGTAGTTACAGTGCCTGCTAAATATCATAGAGCACAACATTTATAAAGAAAGGCAAGGAAAGGAGCCAAATGGGTGTAAGGTATTTCAGTTTCTTAATGCAGAACTTGCCCTGACTATCCATAGTTTATCATAGCTGTCAGTTGCTGAGACTTTTAAAATTGTTATTTCATCTTTTCAGCTTTGTCCCAGAGAATATGAATATCTTATAAGCGGGACAGCTGTATACAAGAATCCGAGGAACAAATTTTTGTGTTTCTGAGAACTTGAACATTTTGTTTGTTAAGTCATGCTAAAAGTTCAAATAACAAACCCAAAAGCGAGACCATCCAGATAACTAAAAAGTCTGTGCCAATGCCAAAAGTTGCCAATGCTTGATGTTCAGTGTGGAAGAAATATGTGCTAAGTTGTATTTTCTTAGACAAGAACATTTCGTTTGTGCTCTTTAATCCCTGGGTGGGAATATTTTAACAAACTTGCTTGTAACTTGCCAGTTATTTGAAACGAATATTTCATAGGAGTATATCAGATTTGATTAAATTTTTGTCATGGGTTTTGGCAGGAAAGAGCCGGGAAGAGGGGAAGAGATTAGAAAAATGAATGCAATGTGGAGAATGCAGGGTATTACAGACAGTTCTCCCACCATCTACCTGAATGTCTTGACCACCACACTAATTCACTATTTTGGGGCATGTTTTGCCAGGTCACTCCTGCTGAAATGGTTCTCATGCCCAATAAGAGCTTCTGGTGTGTGTGAGGGGAATATTTACATACACATTTTCCACTCGGAAGTGTTTCTTATTTGGTTTGATCTTGCTTGGTAAAGCAACATGACTCCTGCTTGGAAGCCTTTCCCTGCTCCCCCTCCCGGAATCAGTGCATTAAGGAAGAGCCTTCCCTGCTTTAGCCCCGAGTTCCCCCGAGAAGCCCAAGCGGTGGCCGATGCCATTGTGCCTCCTGGAGTAACAGCTATCCGTCTGGATGTCTTCTGGATTACATTCTCAAGTGCCAACTCGCTCTCCTCTTTTTCTGTAGTCTTCTCTGTATTCACTAGGAATAGCGCTGGGGGCACGTCATGGGGGTTTTTTTCCTCCCTCAATTCACTTGTCAGTCAATAAGCATTTTTTAAGAGATCCAATGATACGGTGAAGGAATGAAACCCACCATGCCCGAGATGGAGCAGACACTGGCTCCCAGCCAGCCTCATCAGGTGGCCTCTGAGCCCCCATTCTTAAAAACAAACAGGAACAAAATGGTGACTGGAAACTTGAAATCTTGGCTTCAGCCCATCACTACCAAAAAACACTTGCATGGAGGAGATTAAATGCCTTAAAACAAACCAACCCCCCCAACAAGAAGAGGAAAAATGCCAGCCAACAGCACAGATAGTAGGGAAAACAGTTAACATGGGTCACATCCTATCTGGTCAGTACCTTGATGCTCCCATGTGTCTCTGCAGTGTCCCATGGAGAACTGCTGTACACAAAGACAAAATACACTTGCTTCGGTCATCAGCACGTTCATTACTGCCAGCCTTTCTTTGTGACATATTTAAGTCTTATTCACCCCAAAGTAAGTAAGACTAGTTGTTTCATAACCTCAGTTTTAGTAAAAATGTGAAAAAAACGGTTAAGAACCTGCTTTTGTCTCCCTTCAGCCAAGAGGCATGTTTACCCAGTAATCATCTGCCATAGCGCTGTCTTTCAATAAAATGTTCATACAAATGAACAACATCTGATGCTCTCTGCTTGCTAAATATAATCCAGCATGCAATATTGGCTACGCAGATGAAATATTCTGTTCTAATGGGATAAGAAGGATGTGACTGCCCAGACCAAAGGCAGGGTTTCAGTCCTGCTATGTAGTTACTGACGTGAGAGCGCGGCCGGCGGAGGGGAGCCTGGTGGGACTTGGCAGAGGTCTGAACTCTCTTCCTGCTTTTGCAGTGATCATGGCAAGAAGATGACAGGTCCTTCTCTTCTTCAGCTGACTTTCCACTACATGAGCATATTGTTTTCTGCCCTGGCCTACAGGCCTTGTTGCCCTGAGTCTTGGCAGGTATTTTGGATGCTCCTGTAGGCAGGAGAGCTCATAACCTGCTGGGTCCCCCTCGCAGGATGAGCACAGCTGAGACCTTCCCTTCTGTGGATCTTTAACTCACTCGTGGGCTTGTTGTTGTTGCTGTCTCTCCTTTTCAGGCAGAGAACGTGCCCCAAAAGGAGCTCATCCAACGCATGCAGTGACCAGGAGGTTAGTGCTAATGGCTTCAGCAATTTCTGTTTCTCTCTTTCATATTGGCTGTTGCACTGTTTATCTGACGATGTTTACTGGGGCATATTCTGAGTTGTAGAACGGGATCCAGAACTCCGCCGTCGATATCAATGAGCTCCAGCTGGTGGTGCCAAGTCGGCAGAATGAAAACAACAACCACTCTGTCAGCCGGGAGCAGGCGGGTAAGCACGGGGCAGCAGCGGGAGCAGGTCAGGGCACCCTGTAGCCCTGGGCCAGTTAATCAGATCATTTCTTCCTTGCAGTCCTCCTCACTGTCTCGCCCATGCACAGCTGGAGAGCCACTTCACAGCAGAAAGCCTTTGTTGTGGGAACTACTCCTTGCTGCTCTCCCCCCTCGCCGGTAGGGTAATTCCCCTGGCAAGGACCATGCGCAAGCACAGTTCCAGGACGCTGCCAACAAAAGCTGTCATAGCACATGGCATTGCAGAGACACTGGGTTAGCAGAGCAAACGTGTCAGGTTCAGGCTGCTACAAACAACTTACAAAGATCCATAAATTGCGGAGGAGTGTCACCTGCCCTGCGCCTGACCTTGTCCGGAAAGGATGGGGTTTTACGATGCTTACGGTGGCTTTGGACACCTGAGACTCCTGGAGCTGACTTTTTCTGAAGAGCTTTATGGAACGGGACTGCTTTAGATGACATTTACTTCACAGCGTGTTTCGAGAACAAGAGACCCCCAGCCGAGCTGCACATAATGTCACTTGCTGCAATTTTAAGTCACAACACATGAATTGTATCGGTGCCCCTTTTGGTTGGTGAAGGCCAACAGGGAGCTACTTCATGTTGTGTTGCTACACACCATTAGTTTCCCACTAAACCACCAGCCATTACACACAGCTCTCACAAGGATATCTTCCTAAAAAACTAATTCTGTGCTCCCAGCCATGACAATTTCTGATCTGCTGCACAGCCTTGTGCGTTTAGTATGAGGGATTTCAGTTTGGGTCTGTCTTTATTAGAAAGCAGACCCAAGGGTGCTCCTCCCCTCCCCTTTTGTTTTGTTTTTAAAAGCTCGCAGTTTCAGGAGACCAAACTGTTGGCTTGAATTTTGTTCTGGCTGGTGCGACAGACAGCCAAAGCCTGCTCTAGATCATCTGGGGAGAGAGGGAGGAGGGTTTGTTATGGAGGAGTTGGGAACAGCTGTTTTGCACTCTGGCAAGCAGTCTTTACCGATTTTCTTCTTTTCTCAGTCACTTCCTGCAGAGGCAGCACAGAACGGTCTCCTCAGGACACTGACCCAGATGTGCCCTCCTCCATATCCGCAGTGACCACTGAGACTGGGAGCGATGAAGTGTTTATCATTTCTGCTGGACCCGGGGCCAGTGGGCTGAGCTTTACCACCTACAGAATACAGGTAGGAATGCTCTTTGGCATCTCTAGGAAGCCACGGGATGTCCCTTCTGGGCAGCACTTGTCATATCTGTCCATTTCTGCTTACTGCCCACTTTGCAAGAAAGTTAGTGACTAAGCCAGGCGGTTCTAACCCTCAAGCTGAGCTGCCATCAAATGCCGTGGGCTGTGATCCCCCGAGCCAGTATCTTGCCAGCTTTGAGAAGAGCAAGTGCAGAAGTCTACCTTGGATCTGATAGGCGATAATGCAGAGGTCTGCCAGCGGGCGGTAGGACCAGCTCTCAGAAATACGTTAATTGGCAATGATGATGTTCCATTAAAGACATCACTTGTAGCAACTGAAGGACCTGGGAGTCAGACCTGCTCCTACCCACCACTACCAAGTGGTCAGGGAAGTTACTCAGCTCCTCAGCTTGTCAGAAAGCTATTTAACTATCTCACCAGGCTGATGTGAAAATTTACAGTGTATGCTCAAAAAAAAAATAAATCAAGTACTTTAGGTGAAAGCACTGCGGTCCTTTCAAATACACACACAGAAACCTGAATCAGTTCAGTAAAGTTCTCTCCTGTTTTAGCTCTTTCCCCTACACTCCTGGTCAATTGACTGTTCAGAAACAGATGATAGCTCAGAAGTGTCAGGCCTGGCTGCCACCTCTTCAACGTTGAGCATAGTCCCTGACAGAGCACATCCATTACAAGTCTGTGTTAAAGCCTTTCCCAGGTCAATACTCTCCTCTCGCAGTGCCCTCTCTCTTTTTCCCCCACAAGAGGAGGAAAAAAACCAGCACAAGGAGCTCACATGCCCCAGGACAGTCTGTGTAATACTTCTGTCACAATTTACAAAACAAAAGCATTCTGTATCCCTGGACTTGATTAGGAAATTAGCCAGGAGGCCAGGCTGGTCAGGATTTTCCTACACTGGTGTAAGACACACGCTAAGCTTTTCCTTCAGTCGGCCACACTGATTAACAGAAGGAAGGGAAAACAGCTCTGGCGCCTTCCCTTGCCCAAACACGTTACCTTCTGCAGAGCAGGGCACTGTGAGCTGTTTTGGTGCCCAAACTGGGCACCCTTGAACACCTGCACTCCTTGGTCCTTCTTTCCAGTGGAGAGAGCTTCACCTGGTGGCAGTCACATACAAATACAGCTTCTAGGCAGGAGGGAAACCCATTTTCTTTCCTCTTTTCCCCCACTCTAGTCAGAATGGACAAATACACTTAAAGAAAAACATTTCTATTCTGCCATCCCTTCCACAAGCTATCTAGTAGAGAAAATCTATCTATCTATATATAAAAATAAAATATTGAGTGTTGAAACAGTTCTAAGTGACAGTAACCCAAAGAATTAAAGTGATTTACCACATTATTAACTCAGGAGGCATCTCCTTCCCAGTGATGTCCATGCTGCACACAAGTGAGTCAATGCTCTCAACCACATCCCTTAAGGAGCAGAAAACCTACCCGGGAAGGGTGGAAGGGCCTTTTTAAAAGCACTGGGTCTTCCCCCACAGCTGAAGACTATCCTCTCCAAGGAGGGTGGAAATTGAGCACAGCAGGCTAATTACAAACCTGCACTCAAACGGGATCTCTTCAGGCCACTTGCGTTACTCAGGGTTACTGGATGTTAAACATAAACATGTTTACAGTTTAATTTCTAAATGTGTATTTTTAGGGTGTAAAATGCAGCTGGTCAGCCAGCTCCTGACTTTAGCCTCTGAGCCCCACAGAGGGTATGGTGCGTAGCTTTTGTGGACCAGCACTAGGCAAGTGGGATGAGTTATCCACTGGAGCGTAGCCACTTTCTTGGCAGGAGCTAAGAAGTTATCCTCATGTGAAAAGACGTGTGAAATCCTGAGCCTTTACGGTACAGTGAATAATGCCATCAGACTCACCTCGCCCCAAATGCTCGACTAGACAAAGCAAGCTATAAGGAGCTTTCATTAAAAAAAAAATCCAGATCTTTTCACTGAGAAATGGTGGCTGGCCACTTGGTCTTGTGCCCCCCAGTAAGTGTGAGCCTCAGCTCTGCTGGGCGGGAGCCAGTGATAAACTGGCTTTTGCTTTTTAGCTTTTAAAACCCATTTGAAGCAATCAATCCCCTGTCAGAAGGCAAGAGCTGGGAGAGCAAACTCACGTCTCTGTACGTGGGCTAGTGAGAGGAAATGGAGGGCAGGATGGCTTTCGGATGGCTTTCAGATGGCTTCTGAGGTGTCCTCCAGGAGGGTCATGGCTTTCTAAGTCCCGTTTGGTTTAAGTCATCATTCGGCCTTTGGCTAACTTATAACTATGACCTCTGACTTCTATTCAGATATTACAGGTTTCAGATGCAAAGGTTTGAGTAAACAGTATTATCATGGATGTTTAAGAAACATTTTTTGCTAGAACATTTTCAAAAATCTAGAAAATACATTATTCATCTTTGTAGTTACTTCCAGTATATCTCAAAGCCCATGGTTAGCTTTTACACCAGTTTGGAGGTACTTATAATACTACTTGAATAATAAATCCTAAGACTTGAATAATAAATCCTGAAGAGGCTTCTGAGGGGAAGACAGCTGGCTTATAAATTTGTAAATAAAGATTGTTACTTTAATCAAATCTGAGACTAAGAGCTTAATATTGAAACAAACTTATCCAGAGCCTGAAGCCTCTCCCAGCTTCCTGCTGAGATTTTTGTTCTGCTCTAGTAGCTAATTTCTTGCCTCTCTGGCCATCTATTTCCAATATGACATTTTAACTAAATAGTTTCTTTGATTTGCAGAAACTTGGGAGATTCGGTTTCTCAGAAATAACAAATGACAAATTTCTGGTTTCTCAGGACTTTTAAATCCAGGACAGTGTGGGATTTATTTCAGACCCTCTTTAAGGACTATGTAAACTTTGGGAATGTGGATTTTGCATTCTTCTCGTGACAACCATATTCGCACAGCTGAAAATTAAAAATACATATAGAGTTGTGGAACAGGAGGCTTATATAAGTAACAGGTGAAGTATTAGTAAGAATGAAAGGAGATTCATAGGACAGTCAGGGATTCTTTAACTTTTCTGGCTCTAAATGCACATCGACATTAAGGACAAAAATTGTGATTTTAAATGCAACATCAGAACATATTAAGTAAGTATGGAAGAGATCTTTAGACGTTGTCTAGTTCATTCCCATGTCAGATCAACTCTGCTTATACGCAGAACTGGTGACAATGGTTTAATGTGGTCTCATCTTCCAATGATGCCAATTTTACACCTGTCCGGATGTCTTGTTCTACTGCTAAAGCACATTTTCCACCTGAAAAGAATTTCTTATGTGAAATGAAAATCTCCTTGGCTCCAATCTGGGTCTTGTGCTTCTTGTTCTGTTCACCATAGACAGCAAGAACAGATTATTCCCTTTCTCTTTGTTTTCAGTTCTTTTTATTTTCTTAATTCTTCCCTAATATAGGATAAAGAGCACCACTTACTTCAGTCTTCCCTCCTGAATCATGCATTTTTGAGACTTCTGATTCTCTCGTTGCTTGCTTCTGGATTTCTTTCAGCCCCCTCCAACCCCCTTGAAGTTTTGTTTCCCCAGACAGGCACATCTGGAGCCTTCCAAGAGCCAAGCAGAGTGGAAGAATTATGTTTTACACAATGAAGTTTAGTACTCTGATCTGTCAGAGATCTTCAGTAAAATAAAGCTGTAGATATTTGATATATTTGGCTAGTGGGAGTGGTAGGACTTTATTTCTTACGTAACTGAGATTTCCCATTTCAGTGTTAAACCTGAAACTGGGGAAACAAGGTAAAACTTTCATCCAGGGAAGCCAGTGAACTTCAGGCAGCACGCTGGAAGAGCAATGAGGAGAAGTTGCATTCCTGTGTCTTGTCGTGTGAAGAGAACCACTGAAGAAATCAGTCTCTTGCACTAACTGCATATTTTTGAAGTGTTTTTGAAACCTTTTGTTGAAAGATGTTGTAAATGATCTTTATTTATTCTTTTCAGGACAAAAACCTAAAAAGAAGTGTCACGAGCCCAGCCTCTGTGTCTGACTGGCTGACTTCTAATCACACAGCCGCAGGAGCAGACGCTGTTGAGAAGGGGAACGTCCAGCTGGAAAATCACTGTCCCAGACAACGCACGTGGAGTGCCCGCACTTTCCACGACTTCCTAGCTCCAATACCACAGCTACAGAAAAAATGGTGTAGCTGGACCACCAACAGTCCCTTCACAAAGCTGGTTGACAACAGTGTAAGTCTTGCAAGGAGGGGGGGATGTGGTGGTTTGTGCCCCAGTACCCCCAGCTGCTCGCTGATGGGACACGTTTTCCCTTGGCCTACTGCTTTGCCTCTCCAACCTGCAATGTATTACACATTTCAGTCCCTCTTGCTTGGTGTATGGGAAGCTCTTTTGCCTAATTATATTGTAATATATTCAGGCTTTCCTGAAGTGCTGAGAAGCCCAGCACTTAGCACCTGGTTAAGAAATGATCCCCAGTCCAGAAAAACATTAAAAGGTGCCTTCAGACTAGATTATCTCATTGAATGTTCTGACATGTACCTTTTTTTCCCCTGGTTATGCCTTAAATTTATTTTAATTGACATATTACTGTTGCATTGCGAGGAATCCGTAAGTGTGGGAGGGATATCTAGGTCTCACTGACTGTAATCGTCAAACCAACAGCTTGTTACAAAGCTAATAGAGGATGTTTCTCCTTTTTTAAGGTAATAACCTAGGTTTTTGCTAAAGAATGCATCTCACCTCTAACATAACAAGGAATTTAAACTTTTAGTTCCCTTGGGATCAAAGTTTCTGCTTTTCATGGCATGTCTACTAATTTATTATTATTTTGTGCAGAGTTTTCCAACAGCTGCAAGATCCCAAGGTGTGCCAACCAGAAAGGTAATCTCAGCCACTGAGATAGAGGGAGCATCAGGGACTGTTTACTCTGATTCATCTGCCAGTAATGCCTCGTACCCCCTCACTCTGTCTGCACAAAGGCAGCGGAAGCTAAGCTCCTGCAATTTGAAGAAATCCAGGTTCGGTAACCCTTATTTTGGATTTTTAGCCAGTTCCCCTGACAGCAAACAGGTGAGGTCCTTAGATCCCTCAAGACACCTAGGGGCAGCATCTCCAGTTAACAGCCAAAGCCCCAAAAATCTTCTGGAGAGCTCCAACCCACTGAAAATCAACTTGGTCAATGGCTCGAAAACAAAGGAGCTTATGGTAGAAACAGATAAAAACAAACCCGTTTTTGTTATTTCCGAAGAAGGGGATGATCAGCAGCCTCTGGTCCTAGCAGAACATCTTAGTCAATGTGGAGATCATCTGTCAGAGCAAAATGCTGTGTATGCTCCAGCTGTGCCAGATAAACAGCCGGTGGTTCTGACTGTTGAGGGGAACAGTTCTGCCAGCTTCACGTCAAATCTTCCCCTTTGGGCAAAATCCCCTAGTTTATACAAAGGTCACGTGAAGGCCCCTGGCTCTTCCAGGGACCAGCAGAGCTTGTCAGTTGGAGATGCTAATACTACTGAGATCTCACAGAACTGTGATACCCTAGCTGCTCCTACGCTATGCCAAGCTTCAGTCCAGTGATGCCCTCAGAAAGACTGAAACATCAGTTCTCAAAAAACAGAGACGACAGGGGCGTGATCAGAGTGGAAGCTGTGCCAAGCAGTTGAGCGTGGCAGTCACAGATGGATGCAGCTTTGTTAAGAGCGGTCTTTGCTTCGCACCCATTGGGATTGAGATTACGAGGATACCAACCATAGCACAGCATAAATGCCATCTTCCCTTATGCTCGCTAACCTCATCTCTGTTCTGCTGTGTGAGAGTTTGATGTGGTTTATACAAGAAAGCATCCTCTGAGAAGGTACTTCAGACTGCAGAAAACTTTTTCTGGAATGAGAAATGGAAGTCATCTGAGACGGTTACATCGTGGTTTATATCTGAAATGTAAATCAGTCCTCTGTCACTGTGGTATCACTTGAGTCTTTCTGTTGGGAGCTATGAGTTATATTCTGTTTATAGCTATGCCTGTGCAATCCAAGCCTTGCCAAGCCAGGGGTAAGAATTCAATCATGCATGTTTGCGTACAGTTTTGTAAACTTAATTGTAAGCATTTCATAACTTCTGCACTCTAGCACAAAGTTTACCAAGCATTAGCATCTCTAATATTAAAGACCACGATTATCTCGTATCCTAACTCTAGAGAAGTGTACAGACAAGCTGAGCAACCCGATACTTGATGGTAGTTCTATAAAAGTCTGATGTGGCTTTATCTTTGTTAGATCTACATAGGCTTAAACCACCTCAGTCCACTACATTTTTAAGTGACTCCTCATGGCAACAGGAGCATGTGTACAAAAACACTGAAATACTAGGAATAGTCTTCAGCATCCAACACTTGGATATTTGCAGCTGCTCTGATCCTATATCCACCAGCTATTTATTGCTGGTAACGCACATTGACTAGACAACTATTTCCCTTCCTTTAGCAGGCAAGACTTAAAAGACAAAATTAAGTGGGGCAAACTTTCAAGTGCTCACTTTCTTTAGAAATGAACTACTAAGTGGCTGTGCCTCCCTGATTACAAATCCAGGGCATTCAGTGGAGCACTGAACCAAAGGGAAGCCTGCTAGTCCTATTGCCTTTAATAACCCCATCAGTATTTTAACTGCCTCCTGGTGATGTTTTCCTATCTTTGCAAGAGACTCCTGCATGTTCAGCCCATAACTTAGAATTATTTTGCTTTCTTAAGTGAAAGAAATTGCCTATGAAGCTGTATTTTGCAGCTGACACAGCACATTGTTTTAAAGCAATAGTATGTCATAAAACAGGTGTCAGAAAGAAATCTTCTGTACAAGTCTTCCCCTGTATTAGCTACAGTGTGCATTGAGTTATCTTAATCCTTCTGTGTGAAGGCATTGAAGTCTGATTCCTGAAATATTTAACTGAATTATTTATGATTTCACCTGCTACTGCAGCTTCCATTTGCCACCTATTAACGTCTGAGATATGCAACACAAGATTGTAGGTTTTCCCGTATATTTTGTGTGTGTGTGTTTACGTGTCAACGTAGACATAGAAGCCTTGCATCCGGTAGCAGTGGAAGCAAAAACGTATATGCCCTTTAGCAGTTGACTCAAAGATGAACAGCAAACAAGTCTCCGCAATTGTTATTACCAGACTGTGTTGAGTAGTTCTGAAGCACAAAAGTCTGGCTCCAACTTGGGGTTTTTTTGTTGTTGTTGGGGGTTTTTCTTGTGTGGGTTTTTTTTTTAATTAACGCTACATGATTCAAAGGGAAGAGTTAATATATTTAAGAAAATATTTAGAAGTCTTCAGCACTCTAATAATAACTTCCACTGCATTAAATTCATGTACATTGTAATTCAGAGTCAATGTTCTGTTACTTATTACATTTCTAAAGATTGAAGTACTAAAATCTACTTTTGAAAAGTATTTGTGTTCAGTTATTGACAATAGCTACATTTGAAGGGCTGGAAAAAGTGGCTTTTTCAATAAAAGCGTGTTTAACTATTCATTTCTACAATGTAATGACACTTATTTTGTTTATTTTGCTGAAAGACTAAGTTGCATGGGCATTGCCTTAGAGCACCAGTACATCACGTGGCGTGCACCAGTACAGCAACCTCCCTAGCAGTTGCTGTAATGGAAAGAGCACAAAAGCTGCTGCATCATTCAGTCAGCAAACGCCCAAGGATTAGATCCTGTTTGATTTCTCCTCAGTAACCTAGTGAGATAATGAGGTGGTTGTTTACACTGACTTCCTCTACTACCTGTCTGTGTAACCAAAAAACAGGTTTTATAAACCTGTGAAGACTGCTGCCAGAGGCTAGTTTCTGTGGGAGTGCGGATTTCCTTTCCTATACTGCTTACCTTAACGCTGTGTACCTCTTCCACCCTTGCCTCTGGTAGCAGTACAGAGCCAATTAGACACGAGGCACTAAATCAGGTTATCGTATATTCATCATGGACTACAGAAATAGGTATTTTGAGAGAGGCCCTCCTCTTGAAGAATATGCAATATTGAACAACGCTGCTTATTCTCAGAACAGACGTAGCTGACATACCAAACTATTCAAAGGTGATGTCTTCTGCCACTAGAAGATACTGAAGCCTAATGCCTAACTGGTGCATGCTGCAGGTACACAAAGACCTTCCCCTCGCTCTTGGTCAGCCCCGAAGAGCCAGGACTACAACATATGGGAGACTTACCTTAAGTTCCTGACTTGCCTTTTGAAGTTCCTAATTTTTTTTTTCAGGCAGATCACTAAAATTAACTGCTAAAGAGGTATTTGTGTTTTATTTTGTGCCTTCAAAGAATTTATAAAATATTTTCTTCCTCTTACAGCTAAAGGAACTGTTTTGAACTTATCCTCTTCCCCCCCTCGAGGAACAGAAACAGCTTCCACCCATACTCTTCAAAAAAGTCATAACACAAATTTAAGAAATTCTAAAAGCTCCGGGTGGAATAAAGTGCTCTAATACTCTCAGCTGTAAATATTGGCTAGGATTAGTTTTTAAATAGTATTACTTATGGCATTTATTTTGTTCCTAATAGCTATATTACTTCTGAGAGCTATGCTGCCACTTTTTAATGACAGAAACCTTAACAACTCATGCATGTGTTCAGGATTCAGTTTCACCTTTGTGGGTTTACTGTGCTATTCTGCATACTGTAACTAAGCAGCAAATGGGATAAGCATGCTAAACACTTGCTGAAGAGGAGGAAAATAATTTCAATCACAATTGCTTGGGAAAAAAATGTCCAAAAATGTTACGGAGCTAACAAACAGAAGGAGTATTCTTTTCAGTAAAGCTGGATTTGAATAATGTTAACTTTTTAAAAAATTAATTATTCTGGAATATACTAGGCAATCCCTCTAGCCAATGTGTTAGGTAGATTGGAACAGTACAAAAATATGTGGGCTTTCCCTATTTTTTCATTGTTGAAACAGAACTTGAAAATAAAAGCTTGAAGCTATACAAGCTGACAGGAATCCTGTGTGGTGGGTTTCTTACTGTCAGGTAGTTAAAATGGTTGAGAATGGAAGCCCAATGGGAAAACAATCCAAAAGATTTAACAGGCAGCTAATGCATCTTAACTTTGAGGATTCAGAGTAGCATTCACCAAGAAAAAATCCATTTATAGATTCTTAGCAGAAACATGAACTGAGGTTTCCTTTCAGAAATCTAACTTTTCTTTAAGAGCAGTTGGTTACAAAGCATCCTACTCATAACTGTTTGTTTTTTTCCGTATTCCCCCCCCCCCCCCCATAGGAAGGGCACATGAACCATAACAAAACACATTTGACTCAAATAGTCCAGTCAGTTACTAGATTTTATTCTAAACAATTAAAGATTAATTTGGATTGCAACGAAAAAAAGATAAGCCCTAAGCCAACACTTACCTAACGAAAGCAAGCAACTGAAACTCAGCAGCACTGAGAAGAATACCCAACAGAGACCAAATATAGCTTCAACATATATTCATGGTCTGTCTAGAAATGTCTTTGATGTTAAACCTCATATGGCACACTTAGCATTTTTTATAATTCATTTCCTATGGAAACTAATGAGCTTAAGGGTAAAATTACCTCATTGAAAGTCAAAATGGTGAAGTGTGAAGAAAAGAGGGATGACCTGAAAAGCAGATTTAGAAGCAATCTTTGCATATTAAGCATTGCTGTGGGAAATAGTATAATTAGTTTTCTTCAGAAGTTATTCCTTGGAATTGTGTAAGTGGTATTTCAGCTCCCAAACATCATGCAGAAAGAATGTTAGATAAAATAAGTGGAAAAAATGCAAAATCCCCACACATTCTTTTTAAAATCAAGAGATCCTTTTCCTAACTTCCAGTAACACAGTGACTGTTGATTTATTTTTAGAGGGCAGACTGTAGAAAATAAGGCCCCCTTCCAGCAGAAATTTCTAAGAGGCCATAAGAAACCAGATTTTCAGAGTACAATTTAGAGTTGAGCATTCTCTTCTCAAATGCGTAACTCCTTTTACTTGAATCAACTTATTTCCCTAAGCTCTTGCTGTAGGCTAAGCCACCTGCACTATTACAGTTCTACTGAAGACTAGAAATTGATACAAAATGGATGTGTTTTGTTTGCAGAGTGAATGACCTAATGATTGATCTCCGAGTGTCAAATACCAAGATTCTTCTATTAAATTCAAGGAAAACAGTACCAGAGCTTAAACACAAGTTATCCTACACAGTTGCTGTGTCTCAAATACTTGAGACACACTGAGGGCTCTCAGATTAACACTGACTGTTGAGATTAGTATGTTGTCAGCTATTCCAGCTGCAAAAGGCCATATATTGTATTCTCTTTCTCACAATCATGCTACCATCTTTCTTTATTCTTTATTGAGGAAGCGCTTGGAAGGGCTTATGCTGTGCCAGAACTGATCACTTGATGGGGCATAAATCCAAAATCAGCAGCTTCCTCAAACTAAATTAGTTACAAGTCATTTGTTGACATAATGGAGTATAAAACATTTAAATCCACCAATGTAAGTGTAGGGCAAGCCAAAACCATTACAAGTCTTAAGGTCTATC